ATAAGTTCCTAGAAACATATAATCTTCCAAAACTGAACTAGGAAGAAATAGAAAATCTGAATAAACCAATTACAAGAAACAAAACTGAATCAGTAATAAAACTACCAAAAAAACGGAGCAGCTGGGTGGCTCAGTCAGTTGAGCATTCGACTCTTGATTTCAGCTCAGGTCATGATCTCGTGAGATTGAGCCCCATGGTGGGTTCCACACTCAGTGGGGAAACTGCTTGAAGATTCTCTCCCTCTGCCCCACCCCTCCCTTGTGTGCACACGCTCTCTCTCTCTCTCTTTCTCTCTCTCTCTAAAATCTTGGCAAGGGAAACAGAAGCAAAACTGAACTATTGGGACTTCAACAGGATAAAAAGCTTTTGCACAGCAAAGGAAACAGTCAACAAAACTAAAAGACAGCCTATGGAATGGGAAAAGATATTTGCAAATGATGTATTAGATAAGGGGTTGGTATCCAAAATCTATGAAGAACTCATCAAACTCAACACCCCAAAACAAAAAGTGCAGCCAAGAAATGGGCAGAAGACATGAACAGACACTTCTCCAAAGAAGACATACAAATGGCTAACAGACACATGAAAAAATGCTCAACATCATTCAGCATCAGGGAAATACAAATCAGAACTACAATGCCATACCACCTTATATCTGTCAGAATCACTAAGGTTAACAACTCAGGAAGTAACAGATGTTGGTGAGGATGCAGAGAAAGGGGAACCCTCTCCAGAGTGACTGGTACAGCCACTCTGGAAAACAAGATGGAGGTTTCTCAAAAAGTTAAAAATAGAGCTACCCTGTGGCCCAGCAATTGCACTGCTAGGTATTTATCCAAAGGATACAAACATAGTGATTCTAAGGGTCACATGCACCCCAGTGTTTACAGCAGCAATGTCCACACTAGTCAAACTATGGAAAGAGCCCAGATGTCCACTGATGGATGAATGGATAAAAAGATGTGTGTACACGCACACACACACACACACACACACACAATGGAATATTATTCAGCCATCAAACAGAATGAAATCTTGCCATCTGCAAGTCTGTTTCTACTTCTGTTACTCTAATGAATACCTTTAAAGAGAAAAATTATTATGGACATGCTCTGACACTTTCTCATTATTTATAAAACATGTTACTCTCTGAATTTACTTAGTTCTTTCATTGTTTTCTGGTCTTCGTTTGCCACACTAGGATGTAAACATTATGAGAGCAGAACATTGCCCATCTTTTTCATACTGTAATCGCATTACTCAATTGGTGCCAGATTTTAAAAAGATGTACTATAGAAAGATTTGTTAAATAAGTGAATGGAAAATCTGTTTTTAACATTATTGTCAGTGTTTAATGACAGGCACATAGATCATAAATTATTGCTTCCAAGATAAAGTTGGAATTGACATGCCCTTCAAGTGAATATTTTACTTTTTTTTAAATGTAGAGCAATAAAGCTGATTTGACAGTATCTTTGCCACTTAATTGTTTTAAGATTTTTTAAATTTTATTTATTAGCACGAGCAAGAGGAAGGGCAGAGGCAGAGGGACAAGCAGACTTCCCACTGAGTGGGGAGCCCGATGCGGGGCTCGATCCCAGGACCCTAAAATCTTGACCTGAGCCAAAGGCAGACGCTTTACCAACTGAGCCACCCAGGTGCCCCGTCACTTAATTTTATTTCCAGAATACAGATTTGTTTTTGGCATTGAAGTCTTTACTACCACCATAATGTGTTAAATAACTCTTCTGAGTTAGCTTTCAGGAACAAATAGGCAAAGTATAGTAGAATTTCAGTCCATTATTCTCTTTAAAGGTATTCATTAGAGTAATAGAAGTAGAAAGAGACTTGCTTTTCTAGGTGATTCCTAGAAAATTTTATTTACTTATTTTAAGTAATCTCAACCCACAATTTGGGCCTTGAACTCACAATCCCAAGATCAAGAGTTGCATGGCCCTCCCAACTGGCCAACCAGGTGCACCTCTAGCTGATTTTTTAAATGTGATTTAATACACTAATACTGAACTATCAGAAAAAGAAAACAATCCCATCTACAATAGCAAATAAATAAAATACTTAGGAATAAATTTAAGCAAAGAGGTCAAAGATCTGTACTCTGAAAATTACAAGGCATTGATGAAAAAAATTGAAGAATTCACAGAAAAATAGAAAGGTACCCCATGTTCATGGATCAGAAGAATTAATATTGTTAAGATGTTCATACTACCCAAAACCCTCTACAGATTCAATGTAATACCTGTCAAAGTTCCAATGACATTTTCCACAGAAATAGAAAAAAAATACCTAAAAGTTGGGTGGAACAGCAAAAGCTACTGAATAGCCAAAACAATCCTTAGAAAGAAGCCAGGCATCATAATTCTTGATATCATATTTGAATCCAAAGCTATAGTAATCAAAACAGTATGGTACTGGTTTAAGAATAGACACATAGGGGGTGCCTGGGTCACTCAGTCATTAAGCGTCTGCCCTCGGCTCAGGTCATGATCCCAGGGTCCTGGGATCGAGTCCCACATCGGGCTCCCTGCTCCGCGGGAGGCCTGCTTCTCGGTCTCCCACTCCCCCTGCTTGTGTTCCTTCTCTCGCTATCTCTCTCTGTCAAATAAATAAATAAAATCTTTTTAAAAAAGTGTTTAAAAAATAAAGAAAATAGGCACATAGGCCAGTGGGACAGAATCAAGACCTAAGGAATAAAGCCATGCGTATATGATTAACTAATATTTGATAGGGGAACCAAGAAGACTCAATGGAGAAAGGATAGTCTCTTCAATAAGTGGTGTTGGGAAAACTGGATAACCACATGCAGAATGAAAGTGGACTTATCTTACATCACTCTCAAAAATTAACTTGAAATGGATTAAAGATTTAAATGTGGGCACCTGGGTGGCTCAGTCGTTAAGCATCTGCCTTCGGCTCAGGTCATGATCCCGGGGTCCTGGGATTGAGCCCCGCATCGGGCTTCCTGCTCAGCGGGAAGCCTGCTTCTCCCTCTCCCACTCCCCCTGCTTGTGTTC